TCTTAAGAGTCCTTAAGAAGTGTAGTCTCTGCTGAGCCTTCTTGATGACCGCTGTGGTGTTCTCTTTCCAGTTTAGGTCAGCAGAGATATGGACACCAAGAAATCTGAAAGTGTGAACCCTCTCCACGCACTCACCGTTGATGTAAAGGGGGGCTAGGTTGGTGCTGTGCTTCCTGAAATCAATAATTACCTCCTTGGTTCTTTTGATATTCAGAGCCAGATTTTTCTCTGAGCACCAGGTTGCTAGCTCCAGGACCTCCTGTCTGTAAAATGTCTAATCTCCCTTAGAGATTAGTCCGACCACTGTGGTGTCATCAGCGAACTTGACGATGAGGTTGTTGTTGTGGGCCGGGCTGCAGTCATGGGTGCAGAGACAGTACAGCAGGGGGCTCAGCACACAGCCCTGTGGGGAGCCAGTGATCAGCGTACGAGTGGAGGAGAGGTGGGGACCAAGTCTTACAGATTGGGGCCGATTGGTTAGGAAGTCTTTTATCCAGGCACATGTGAGGGGGGGGGGAGGCCGAGATTGTCCAATATATTTATAAGAATGTCCGGAATGATTGTACAAACCAGATTCCAAAAAAGTTGGGACACTAAACAAATTGTGAATAAAAACTGAATGCAATGATGTGGAGGTGCCAACATCTAATATTTTATTCAGAATAGAACACAAATCACAGATCAAAAGTTTAAACTGAGAGAATGTTTCATTTTAAGGGAAAAATCTGTTGTTTCCAAATTTCATGGCGTCAACAAATCCCAAAAAAGTTGGGACAAGTCCATTTTTACCACTGTGTGGCATCCCCCCTTCTTCTTCCAACACTCAACAGACGTCTGGGGACAGAGGAGACCAGTTTCTCCAGTTTAGAAATAGGAATGCTCTCCCATTCATGTCTAATACAGGCCTCTAACTGTTCAATCGTCTTGGGCCTTCTTTGTGGCACCTTCCTCTTTATGATGCGCCAAATGTTCTCTATAGGTGAAAGATCTGGACTGCAGGCTGGACATTTCAGTACCCGGATCCTTCTCCTACGTAGCCATGATGTTGTGATTGCTGCAGAATGTGGTCTGGCATTATGGTGTTGAAAAATGCAGGGTCTTCCCTGAAAGAGATGACGTCTAGATGGGAGCATATGTTGTTCTAGAACCTGAACATAGTTCTCTGCATTAATGGTGCCTTTCCAGACATGCAAGCTGCCCATGCCACAAGCGCTCATGCAACCCCATACCATCAGTGATGCAGGCTTCTGAACGGAGCGTTGATAACAACTTGGGCTATCCTTGTCCTCTCTGGTCCGGATGACATGGCGTCCCAGTGTTCCATAAAGAACTTCAAATGGTGACTCATCTGACCACAGAACAGTCTTCCATTTTGCCACACTCCATTTTAAATGACCCCTGGCCCAGTGCAAACGTCTGAGCTTGTGGAGCTTGCTTACAAATGGCTTCATCTTTGCACTGTAGAGTTTCAGCTGGCAACGGCGGATGGCACGGTGGATTGTGTTCACTGACAATGCTTTCTGGAAGTATTCCTGAGCCCATTCTGTTATTTCCTTGACAGTGGCATTCCTGTTTGAGGTGCAGTGACGTTTAAGGGCCC